AAAAAAAAAAAAAAAAAAAAAAAAAAAAAAAAAAAAAAAAAAAAAAAAAAAAAAAAAAAAAAAAAAAAAAAAAAAAAAAAAAATCACAATCCCGTATTGCAACACGTTAGTAAATTACAAAATAAATGCAGCACTCCCAGACCAAATTCAATCCAGGATCTAAGACACCACCCTCATTTCGTTTTTCCTTGGTTTTCCTTTTTTTTTCCCTGGTGTAGAAGAACAATAGTATAACTCCAAGGAAACCGTAAGTTCCATCAGACAAAGAAGAGGGCCATAACAAACATCACATTCGAATACATCAACAATCAAGAAATTCAGAAAGAACAACCAAATTTCAACAAAAATGGAGAAGAAAAACAGGTAAATACAAACTGATTTTAAATTCGACCCAAAAGAGTAACGTGAAATGACACGAAACCGCACAATTAAATATTCAATCAGAAAAACACGAAGGTGGGGATGGGAATGGAACAAGAACCTTTTCCACAAATCACGTTGAGACTTCGCCGCCACGGACCGCCAGAGTCTATCCATCTCAACACAGAGCGACTGGATCTGAGTAATATCCCTCTTGATCGAGGAGGAAAGGTCGGGGGAGTCCATGCCGCTGGCCGCCGTGTACTCAAGGCGCTCCAGCTTCTCAAGCTCATCCCTGGTCCTCAATAATAGCCTCTTCGCACTATGGTATATCTCAGAAAGCGTCCCTCCTCCTCCTCCTTCCATGGCCGACATCGGAATCGCACACAGAGCAACGGAGATTTCGGTTTCGTGAAATCTGAATTCCAAAATGAAGAAGAAGATACAGAATTAAACGAATCAAAGACACCGAGGATTATGGATTATCGTAATTGCAAAGAAGAGAGAAATTGAAGATCGAATAGGAAAAACAAAAACAGAACAACGATTTCTCTCTCTCTCTCTCTCTCTCTCTCTCTCTCTCTCTGTTAAGGATCTCAACGAAGGAAATGGAAGACGAAGAAATAGATTGATTTTTTTAGATAAAACGACGCCGCATTTGACAGGATGACGTGTCGTATCTCGTAACCGTAGATATTTACGTCTTTCGCGACGGGTGGATCAGATTGCTCGCTTTAGTTCATATGAATTTGATATTCACGAACCAATAATAGGCCGCCAATTCATACAGTTTCTGACGTGGACATTACGTGGATTTTTAAATGGCATTTTTTTTTTTTTTTTGTTGAATTAGATTTTAGGGAAAATCTCAATTTATAGGTTTAAATATGCAGGTTGTATTGATTTTCACTAAATAAAAAATAAAAATAATCTCATCAAATTTAAATGTGATAATTCAATTTTTAATAATTAACTCTAATTTTAGTTTTTAAAAATAAATTTAAAAGTCTTGCATTAATTGCACTAATTAATTATTGAATAATTTTATCAAAAAATAATAAAAATCTAGCTCTAAATACTATATTTAAAATCTTATTAATTTTGTAGCATACATATGTTTTATAATTGATCGAAGTATATAAATTTTTTTTTTTTATTAACAAGTTTAAAACAAAAAACTTATTAAAAAGTAAAGATCGACATTTAAGGTTAAAGATTGCAATATTTATTTTAGTTTTAATATTATTTAATGAAATTGAAAATTCAAATAATAAGCTAATAAGGCCATAATTTAAAAACGATTGATTAATATTAATTTGTAAAATACCTCTTTATCTATTTTCAACCTTTAATTATCAATATTTAATTAAAATAATTCAAAATTATTTTTTTAGGAGTGAAAAATAATTATGAAATAAAAAAATAATTTTGAAATAAAAATATAATTTTGAAATAAAATAAATATATAGTAGACAAAAATGTATTTCTAAAAAAATTAAAAATAAATTTGAGTTAATTCAATTGCAATTCCATATACCAACCCAACTCATAAAAAAAACATAACCAAATTGAGCTAATTGAATTTTTAGGGATATCAGTATAATTTCAATTTGACAAGGTAGGTGTGGATTCAGGAGAGCTATGCATATTCTAGTTTAGAACCCTATTTCCCCAACCATATTGAAAACAAGCAAAAGACCATTCCTTCTCAACACAAACTTGCCAACACTTCATTTCTTCTTCCTTTTTAATACTTTTTGACATATAATATGACCAGTAATACCATCATCATCATACTAGCAGCAACGTCTGTGTATTTTACAGACCAAAAAACACTTACATTGATTTAGCGGAAAGTTGCACTTCGGTTTCCAGTTGCAGGGAAGGCATGGCGTCGTTTGCCTTGCGGTAATTCCACGGCGGCGGCGGCGCCACTGTTCTTTTCAACTTTATCTAGACCTAAATCTAACTTGGCCCCAGCAGCATTCTTTGATGGCTTCAAACCTTTGCTGGCCCCAGCATTCTTTGATGGCTTTACAGCTTTGTCGTCTTCTGGTTCCGAGTTTTCTGCCATATCTTCTCCGAATACTACTTGTTTCCTAGCTGCATCATAGTCGAACGGCTTGATCTGCAAAAAGGCACTTTGTTTTCCTGGATTATCAGTTTTCCCAAGGTTCATAGCTTGTTCATTTGAATTCAAACATTTCTGAAAGCTAGAAGACAATTCAGACAGGGACATTGGTTCGTCTTCATCATCATTTTCGTCGCCATCGATTTCAAGAGGCGAACTAGCACTAAAACCTTTCAACTTCGGCTCATTGGTGTTTTCTGCAACAGGATGTGGTTCTTCATCTTCGAACTCCTCATCTGAATCATCTTCTAACAATATAACCTCTTCTGGGGAAGGTTTTGGAACTGGCATCACAGGAGGCTCAATATTCGAACTTTTTGTTGACTCAGCAGCAGGTGCTTCCGAATTTTGAGTTTTTAGTAGAGTCATGGTCGTTGGTTCTTTAACTGACTTTGATGGTTCACTCGTTCCCGAGAATGAATGAAAGGGTAGACAAACAGAGGATCGAATTTTATCCAACTTATTCTCTTCATTATCCTAACAAAAATAAGCAATACGAATGAGACAGCAACAAGGGAAGAAGTAAAAGAAACAGTACACCTTAAACCAAAGGGACCCACCTTTTGATCGGTATCTAATTTTCTCTTTGGGGCCGAGTTTCCCAATAGTGACCCGAGACCACCTCGGTTACCCTTCTTTTGCAATGAAATGTTCATTCCAGTAACCTAAACAGGAAATCATTTAGAACATAGATCTCAAGGCAAAGAAACAAAACAGACACGAGGATGTTCCAATTAGAGATATTTCACCACCTGTGCTACTGGATATTTATCTCCATTCGAGTGTTTGCTCGGCTCCGAAGTTGTTGGACCAACTTGAGAAACCTGTCTACTCCCATTCAAAACAGGATGCAGAGAATGGTCTACCTTTAAAAATTTTCCAGGTACAAAGGGCCGGTATCCATGTTCCAAGGGAGCAACTTTTGACTGGGAAGAAGGTGAAAAGATTGGACCATTGGCAGTATTTTCCACAGCATTGACCTTCGTAAACGGGATTACGTGTCTCAAATTTGAAATATCGGATATATTCATATCTTGATGTTCACTAGTGGATGCCTGTTCTTCTGAAGCCTGTCAACAAGTGAAAGATTAAAGAAAACAGAATTTTAAAAATCACTCTCAGGAAAGGAGAAGAAAAAATCATATGCAATTTAAAAGGCAAAACGAAAGAAAAAGCTGTCTAACTTTATCAGGGTTTCCAATTTCTCACATCCATTATACTAACCCGAACCACATAACCAAAATGTGGTTGCTTCATGAGAATAGATCACAGGTACTAGAGAAAATAATATACCATTACACATTCCGTACCGAATCGTTAAGCAGAAGCCATTGGTTTTTTCATGGAAAGGAAGTTCAGAACAACAATTACAAGACACATGAAGACTTCCATTTTCACCCGTTATTACTTAAACTAGTCAGCTAAATTCTTTTAAATTTTAATTATAGACTCAGAATCCACAACATTCCTCCCTATCTATTCTAGAAAGAAGAATGCCGGTGACTCCAAGAATAAACCCATTTCACTTATCTCGTTTAAACAATTTTAAGAAATGAAATAATACAGGCCCTAATTATATCTCTGATCACCATGAATTCAATGGAAGGCAGCCAATAAAAAACCTAGCAAAAATGATCTCGAGTCCATGAAATTAATTGTGGTTTCTGGTGGTGTTACGGTTAGTTAAGCAACAATAGCATACAGGATATAAGCACAAGCCTTACCGCCTCTGCACAGGCTTCCTTCAAACGCTCAGCAGCCACTTCGAATGCACAAGA